CGGCCATATGCAAGGCAAATAACTATTGTACTATCTCTCCACCTCCCAACCAGTTAGTTTGGTTCTGTGTGTTTTCCCTCTATCCGTAATGTCTTTAACTCATTTTTTTCTATAAATTCCCATGGGTTCAAGCAGTGATCGTATTATGCTGTAGTGATTTACCATTAATTCAGAGCAGTTCAATAAACATTTCACTAATTTTACTTTGAATAATTGAGTACATGCCATTTGTAGTATGTTCAGATTTTACGAGTATCTGCCTGGTACTTGGGAGATACAGGTATGTTATCTGAAACTTTAAAAATTAAAAGTACGGTGTGATATTTCTCAACAGATTTGGAGCCTCTCTCTCTGAGAAACATAAAGAAAATCAACCAAGAACTTTGAGGCTTATTTTGTAAGACTCGTGTGTATACTATGCAGCACCTCCCCTAAAAAGACCTCAGATTTGCCTCAGATGATGGTGGACTGTTCATCTTACTTGTGTGTTAAGAGCTACCTTGTAGCAGTCCTCAAACTGGGCAGAAGAGAGGCCTCAGACCACCACCAAACTGTTCAAACTATCGAAAATGAGTCTGTGAGCTGCTTCTCACCCTCTGCAGCAATTTTGTTCCCTTCAGTCTACAGGTATCAGAAGGTGATCGTTGGTCTCTCTCCCAAGTGATTGAAGAAGTAACTGGTAGAGAAAGAGGGTAAAATGATCAGTCCAGGCCTTCAGAAGTCCAGTGTTCATACTGCACCCAAGTCCCAGAAGATATTAGAATGGACTATTTCTATACTACTCCTCAAGACGCTCTTCCCATCATGGAACTGGATGGCGTTCCCTGGACTGGAAGTGACTGTGTTAGAGGTCAAGGTTGGGCCATGTAATATAAATCTATACCTAGTGAAGGGCCCACAAGCACCACCAGCAGTAATTCCTGAGTGAAGAGCCAGGAGTAACCCCTGTGCATCACCAGGTGTGACCCGAAAAGCCAAGAAATAGAAAAGGAAACTAAAGTTTAAATTTCCAGTCTTTCAGTTGAATAACTTTTTTCATAGAACTCTTATTTTCCTTTCTACCTTTTTTTTAAATTTTGATTTTGGTTTTTTGCTCCACACCTGGCAGTACTCAGGGCTTACTCCTGGCAATACTAGCCAACCTTATGGGATGTTGGGGATTAAACTTGGGTCAGCTGTGTGCAGGGCAGACAATCTACCCACTGTATATTCCCTCTAGTCCCTATATTTACTATTCTTATATTTTTAAAGGCTATTGTCTATTACTGGGCTGGAGTGATAGCACAGTGGTAGGGCATTTGCCTTGCATGTGACCGGCCGGGCCAACCCGAGTTCAATTCTTCCACCCCTCTTGGAAAGACCGGCAAGTTACTGTCAGTATCTTGCCCGCACGGCAAAGCCTGGCAAGCTAACCGTGATATATTCAATATGCCAAACACAGTAACAACAAGTCTCACGATGGAGATGTTACTGGACCCACTAGAGCAAATCTATGAATAATGGGAGGACAGTGCTACATTGCTACCTAGTGAGGGTTACCTTGCAAGTTTCAACATACACAGAATCAGCTCCACCTGACTTTTAAAAATATTTTGCTGGGGCCAGAGCGATAGGACAAGGTTTAGTACAGAGCATCGTAAGGATTTGCCTTGAACACAGCCAACCTGGGTTCAATCCCCAGCATCCCATATGATTCCTAGGCATTGCCTGGAGTAATTCCTAAGTCTCAAGCCAGGAGTAACCCCTGAGCATTGCCAGGTGTGAACCAAAAAGACAAAAAAATATAGTTTGCCATTGAGGGTTTGGGGTGTAGCTCAGTTGCAGAGTGCCTGTTTGATACACATGCTGTTCTATGTTATATCCCAAAACACACACACACACACACACACACACACACACACACACACACCTAACCAAAAAATCTTTCCATAGGCCTAAGTCTTTTTTAATTTTAGAAAGTTATTCTTTTTATATAAAGTTTCAATAAACATGAGTCTAAGCTAAAATGAATGGCTTCAGTCAATTGCTACTGGAGAACTGATGTTCTATTTATATTTTCTTGAATGAATGAATGAATGATTGAATGAATATTTTACCTATTCAACTTTGGTGTGGCATTTAGAATAAATATTAAGAATCAAAAGTATATGATGCCAAGTATTGATGGCCTTGATCCAGAGACTCAGCTGTCCCTTCCGGAAGACAGCAGCTCGCTGGAGAACTCTCTGGACCCCATACCGAGCGATTCCACTGGGGCATCTCAGATGGAATGGGTGTTCCCATTCTCCACCCACTCCAGATGAAACCTGAGTGGCCACAGATTTACAGAATAAAAATCCAGGTACACAGGAGTGGGGACTAAGAATCCAGGACACGTGGCAGCAGCAGAAACAGGCCCGCCCTTCCTGTCTCCCCGCCCACTCGGGTCATACTCACAAACTGCCTCCAGGTGCCATCTCAGAGCATTAACGGCCTTGATCCAGAGACTCACAAATGAATCTCAAAATGGACTAGCTCCCTAAAGAGATGTCTCTGGACCCCAGTCATTTACAATTTTAGAATTCCAAGGGTGCACGACTTCCCATGACATTCATAATAAGCAATAGAAAATAAAGTATCTAGCATCGGCCTGTGGTGGGCAGGCTTGAATGGTGATGGGAAAATTCAAAATAATGGTGGTGGGAAGGTGTAATGGTGGTGGGATTGGTGTTGAAATACTGAGTGTAATCCATTAATATGAACAAATTTATGAAAACAAAATTAAAAAATTAAAGAAAAATGTCTATGATGCCAAAATTGCTTTTTAATCTTTTCCCAAACACTGGGGGCCAGGACAATAGTGAAGCAGATAGGACCTTGCCTTGTACTGACTGACCCAGGTTTGATCCCCAACACTGTATGATGCCCTGAGCTTGCCAGAAGTGATTCCTGAGTTCAGAGCTATGAGTAAGTCTTGAGCAACACCAGTTGCGGTAAAAAAAGTGAAAACTATATATATTTCCAAACATTATTGTTCTCCACGTATATTCTCTATTTTGTATTTACTGCTGGCCATGTGTCCTACATTTTTTTATTTTATTGTATTTTATTTTATTTTTTCTTTAATTTTTAATAGTGAGACATCATGAGGTACAGTTACAGACTTACACATTTTTGTGCTTGGGTTTCAATTATATAATGATCAAATACCCATCCCTCAATCAGTGCCCATTTCACACCACCATGGATCCCAGTATCCCTCCCACCCCCCCAACCCCCCCATCCCGCCCTGCCTCTGTGGCAGGGCATTCCATTTTGTTCTCTCTCTCTTATTGAGTGTTGTGGTTTGCAAAAGAGGCAATGGGTGACAATCATGTTTGGTCTATAGTCTACTTTCAGCATGCTTCTCCCATCCTGGGAGGATACTCCCAACACCTTTATTTGGTGTTCCCTTCTCTATCTGAGCTCCCTTTTCCCCTGGCATGTGTGGTTGGCCTCCAAGCCATGGAGTAAAATTCCTGAAACTAATCTCGGCCATTCTTGGGTGTTAGTGTCCTATTTTGTTACTTTATGTTCCCCAGATGAATGCAATCTTTCTATGTCTATCCCTTTCTTTCTGAGTCATTTCGGTTTTACTGTGCTTGTTACACTGCTGCAGATTCCTGTGAAATTTGGAAACTAAGTAATGCTTGTCCAGAGAAGCCCATTGTTCTAAAGGTTGAGCCAGGAGGATGGATATGAGGAGAGATATGAATGGAGTCTGACTCTATAATTTGTTCTTTGAGGAACCTGCAATTCAGAATGCCAAAGAGCTCAAATTCTTTTGTGAATAAATCCCAGAAATGAAGAGTGACTTTGCTGATTGCCCTTGATGTGTTTCCAACATTTATTTACTGGGTTTGTATGTTGAATGTTATAAGATAGTCAGATCAATGAAACTGTCTCAACAATTTTATCAAACAAACTTCTATGAACATGAAAATTATTGTGGTATGTGTAGAAAGACCAGAATAAATCTCAGGGTTGAGATTGGAAATTTTTTTTAATCTTTGGTTTGGGGGCCAGACCCAGAAGTATTCATGACTTATTCTTGGTTCTGCTCTTAAGGATAACTCCTGGTGGGACTTAAAGAACTTTGTGGGCTACTGGGGATAGAACGCAGGTTGACTGTATGCCAGGCTATCACTCTGGCCCTGATATTAGAATTTCATATCCCACTGTCAATTCATGATTTTCTGTATACATATATAGATGGAAGGTGGTGTGTGGGTAGAAAAAATGTCATTTCCCACTTCAATTCCACTAAAATGAAATTACTCAGAACAATGACACTTTCATAGCAACGAGCAGGACTTATGTTCAGACCTTGGGTGCTTAATGTTTCACTCTGTAAAGAGCCAAGGTTCTTGAAAGTAATGGCTACTCCCTGGGCGAGGGGCTGGGAGACTTGAAGACGTTTGAGGAGAACAAAAGCACACGAAAGCAGCTCAGGGGCAGGGAGGGCTTCCACAGACAAGGTCAGAGACTGTGTGATGCTTACAATAAGGCATAGTCCAACAGAAAGGAAAAGTGTAAGGGAAAATCAGTTACTGTGTACTCACTCTGTTGTGTGGTCTGAAGTCAAACCCAACATTTCTCTCACATGTTCCTGGGAATGGGCAAACTGCAAGGTTTCATGAGAATGATTGCACATTTTCATGGATGCACGTCAAAATAGCTATTTATTGCAAAAGCATAAACAGTAGTTGAACAGAGGAGAAAAGCAACAGCTGCCCCTCCCCCACATCCATCAAACAGAGTGAGCCCCAAAGGGAAGGGAAAGGTAGACCTCTATTTCGCCTCTGTGATGTTCCTTTTAGGGAGCATATCTAAAATACTCCTTGAGTAAGCGCTGACAAACTCATACTGTGGAGGTGTGTGTTCACAGGATGGTGTACAGGAATGTGAGTCTGTACACTAGCTTGTCTATACTCAGGATTGAGTGCAGAGATGTGAATGTGTGCGCTAGCGTGTATATACTCAATATTGTGTGCAGAGATGTGAGTGTGTGCATGCTGGCATGTCTATACTCAGGACTGCATGCAGGGATGTGTGTGCACGCTGGCGAGTCTATACACAGAATTGTGTGCAGGGATGTGAACGCATATGTACCCATGTGTCCCACTTTAGGCTTGCTCTCAGATACGACAGTCATCGTCTTTGAGTGACAACATCTCTCCCTAGGACTTTCTGCAGTGCCTTAGCTACATCCTTATTGCGGAGAGTATAAATCAGAGGATTCAGAGTAGGGGTGATGATGCTATAGAACACGGAACCGACCTTGTCTTGCAGTGGAGTGCGCTGGGTCCTCGGTCTCATATATGAGAAGATGCAGGCACCAAACCAGAGAGAAACCACAGTCAGGTGAGAGCTACAAGTAGCAAAGGCATTTCTCTTACTCCCAGCAGATCGCATCTGAATGATGCTGTGGAGGATGAAGCCATAGGAGGTAGAAACCAAGAGGATAGGGAAGACAAGAACCAGAACGGTGCTGATGTAAACCGTCTTCTCATAAACAGTGATGTCTCCACAGACTGATTTCAGAATAGCTGGAAACTCACAGTAGAAGTGGTGGATTGTTCGAGACCCACAGAAAGGGAAGTGCATCAAGATCACAGTGTGAATTAATGAGTTCACGGATGCTCCCAGCCATGACATGACAGCCATCAAAAGAGCCACCCTCCTGCTCATGATAACCGCATAATGCAGTGGGTGACAGATGGCAACATAACGGTCATAGGACATGAGAGTCAGGAGAACACACTCAGCTCCTCCCACTGCCAAGTAGAGGAAGTGCTGGGTAGCACAGCCCACAAAGGAGATGGACTTCTTGCCCGACAGGTAGTTGGTAGCCATCTTGGGGACGGTGGTGGTGAGGAACATCAGGTCCATGAGGGAGAGCTGGCTGAGCAGGAAGTACATGGGGGTGTGCAGCCGGGGGTCAGCACAGATGAGGAAGATGGTCAGGGAGTTGCCACTCACAGCAGCAAAGGCAACCACCATAGTCAAGGAGAAAAGAAAGACATGGGTGAGGGAGTCATCAAAGAGCCCTTCGAGGATGAAGTCGGCCAGAGAGGACTGATTGCTCTGCCTCATCACCCTTCACAGTCCTGCGGACACAAGAAGAGAGCATGGATGAATATGAAAAATCCTGAGTTCAGTAACTTAACAATAAGCACCTTTTGATCTAAGAAAGAATTTTTGGAAAGAAAAATGTTCCCCCTCTTCTCTCAATTCTAATTATTAAAATAACATTAATAAGGTTGGGGAGGTGGGAGGGCTACTGGGATCATTGGTGGTGGAGAATGGGCACTGGAAGAATGATGGGTACTCAATCATTGTATGACTTAAACCCAAGCACCAAAGTTTGTAAGTCTACAGCTATACTCATGGCGTTTCACCAATAAATAAATAAATAAATAAATAATATAACATCAATAAGAGAGATAGACCTTCAAACACATGAAATTCTGAAATGACACTATTCAGGGTCTATTTTTATTAATGCCTTTGTCTATTTTTATTAATGCCTTGGGCCACACCCAGAGATGCTCAGGCCTGACTCCTGACTTTATGCTCATGATCATTCCTGTGAGACTCAGGCTCCATATGAGGTACAGGTGTCTGAAGGCAGGTCAATCACATGCAAAGTAGGCGTCCCATTGGCTACACTATGTCCCCAGTCCCCTATGGACTATATATATATATATATATATATATATACACATATATATATATAGTCTTAATCTTGAGTCACATCATCCACTGTGTTTGTGGATAATACAGGCTAGGTTCATAAAGTTTACTCTGGCAGTTCTCAGGGCACCATGTTCTTTGCAGGTGGAACCTGGCATTCCCCTGCAAGTAACCCATTATTTGTGCCCTTTGAGCCAAGATTATGGATTCAGCACGCTCAAACTCAACGAGTTATACACTCAATACCTGTTAAACCTCAACAAATTTCTTAACATTAAGCAAGAATTACAGAGGTACATACTCACACACATATAAAAGTGAATGAGTTTCTAGGCACATAGAAATTAACTTTCATATGTATTAAAATAATCTACAGACAAAATGTAATAGTTATGTGCATTAATTCCTTTGATAAGAATTACAAGACCCGAGGCTGGAGCAATAGCACAGCGGGTAGGCTGTTTGCCTTGAATGAGGCTTACCCGGGTTCGATTCCCAGCATCCCTTATAGTCCCCCAAGCACTACCAGGAGTAATATCTGAGTTCAGAGTCAGGAGTAACTCCTGTGCACCACCATGTGTGACCTAAAAAGCAATAAATAAATAAATCACTGTCACTGTCCTCCCGTTGTTCATTGGTTTGCTTGAGCAGGCCCAGTAACATCTCCATTGGAGACTTTGTTGTTACTGTATTTGGCATATCGAATACATCATGGGGAGCTTGCCAGGCTCTGTTGTGCAGGCGAGATACTCTCGGTAGCTTGCCGGGCTCTCTGAGAGGGGCGGAGGAATCAAACTTGGGTCGGCCATGTTGGTTGGCAAGGCAAACGCCCTACCTCTGTGCTATAGAATTACAGTGACAGAACAATAGTACAGCAAGTAGAGCATTTGCCTTCACAGGACTAACCCTGGCTCCATCCCCAGCAACACATATGGTCCCCTGAACACCACCAGGAGTAATTCCTGAGTGCCGAGCCAGGAATAACACTGAACATCACTGGGTGTGACCCAAAAAGGCAAAAAAAAAAATTATAAAAGTACATACCAAGTATTTTGATGTCTCCTTAATCATAATAATTTTTAACATAAATTTAGAGTCAAGTTTATATCTGAATATTTAACCCATGATACAAAAGGGGAGCACAAGTTATATAGTTGCAGAATAAATCTCAACAAAGATAAATAAGAAATTTTATTTATGTCCTCTTATTGTTCGGTAACGGTCCTCCCGTTGTTCATAGATTTGCTCGAGCAGGCCCAGTAACGTCTCCATCATAAGACCTGTTGTTACTGTGTTTGGCATATCGAATACGTCACGTGTAGCTTGCCAGGCTCTGCCGTGCAGGCGAGATACTCTCGGTAGCTTGCCGCACTCTCCTAGAGGGGTGGAAGAATCGAAATCCAGTCGACCATGTTGGCTGCATGCAAGGCAAACACCCTACCGCTGTGCTATCGCTCCAGCCCACCTCTGGAGGGGCTGGAACTATAGCATAGAGGTAGGGCATTTGCCTTGCGCGCAGCCGGCCTGGCTGAGCCAGGTTCGATTCCTCTGCCCCTCTCGGAGAGCCTGGCAAGCTACCGAGAGTATCTCACCCGCCTGGCAAGCTACCTCTTATTTTTACTACCTATTATTTTTTTTAATCCCTTTCTTGGTAAAATATTAATACGTTTGGAGTTTTAGACATGAAATTATTGTATCGTCTTAGATGGAAGAAAGCTGGTACTGTATTATTAGGCAATTTAGTGTCATCCAAAAGGTGTGTGCATAAGAAAGAGAGATAAAGAGAGGGGAGGGAGATGAAGGGGGATGGAAAGCCAGAGAGACAGAGAGAGAGGAACAAAGTGCCAGAATCAGGCTGGAGCTGGAGTTGGTGGCCAGAGGGAACCTGGGGACAGTGGTGGGAATTGTACAGGGTGAAGGGAAGGGTGTTGGAACATTTTATGACTGAAATCCAATCATGAACAACTTAGTAACTGTGTATCTCAGGGTGATTCAATAATAATAATAATTGTTATTATATAAATGATATTATTTATTATTATAAAATTATTATTGGCAGAATCTCCTGCCCCCGCACCAGGCTGTCTTCACTGGGGCCCCTCGGGGGGGGGGGCGGGTTGAGTTTCCCTTCCCTCTCCAAGCAGAACCCTGCAGCCGAAAACCTCCAAAACCCAGGCACAGCCATGCTCAAGGCCACTCTCCACATGCTCGGACGAGCCTCACTCATGAAGGAACCGGCAGAGGAACCCAGGGGTGCGGGACCCAGGGCTGAGATCTCCAAGCCTGCTCGGATCAGGACTGGGACTCCTCCACCCAGATGCCCAATTTTCCAGTAGCTTGGTAGTCACACCCACAAAATGCCCCTCTGCCATGTAATCCCAGCAACGGCCAAGATCCAGAGAGTATAAAAACAAAGCTCCTGGAAGCTTTGACTTTGAAGCTTTTATAGACCTCTTATAATCTAGCCCACTGATGTACCTAAAGCAGCACACATGTGTTTGGTTTTGACATGCTTGCTTGTATTCTCTTATTTACATTCTCCATCCCTCTTGGAGAATCCTGAAGCTACCAAGAGTATATGACACCTGCACGGCAAAGCCTGGCAAGCTCCCAATGGCATATTCGATATGCCAAAGACAGTCACAATAATGGGTCTCATTCCCCTGACCCTGAAAGAGCCTCCAATATGGCCTTGTTGGAAAGGACGAGTAAGGAGAGGCTGTAAAATCTCAGGGCTGGGTCAAATGGAGATATTGCTGGCGCCCACTCGAGCAAACCGATGAACAGGATTACAGTGATACACTGATACAATTATTATGTTTTAAATATTATTATATTATCTTAATATTAATTATATCTACTCATATGTTTTTACATTAATTATTATCTATGACATATAATAATACAACTATTATGTTTTATATATTATCATTACATTAAATATAATTATATCAATTATTGTTATATTATGTTATCATATAAATTGTTATATATTGTATATAAAAATTATTGTCATTATATTACATATAATACATTATATATTATTTAAATTAATTATCAAATATTATTATATAATACATATTATAGAAAGGTTTTTTAAAGGTGTGTATCCAATGGAATACTATGTAGCTGTTACAAAAGATGAAGTCATGCAATTATGCAATTTACATACAAGTGGTACTACATGGAAAATAAATGAGTCAGAAAGAGAGGGACAGACATAGAGAGATTGCATTCATCTGGGGAACGTAAAGTAACAAAATAGGAGACTAATAACCAAGAAGAGCTGGGATAAATACCAGAAGGTTTACTCCATGGCTTGGAGGCCAGCTGCACATACTTGGGAAAAAGGCAGCTCAGATAGAGAAGGAAGAACCAAATAAAGGGTGTTGGGAGGATCCTCCCAGGATGGGAGATGCATGCTGAAAGTAGACTATAGACCGAACATGATGGCCACTTAATGCCTTTTTTGCAAACCACAGCACCCAAAAGGAGAGAGAGAACAAAAGGGAATGCCCTGCCACAGAGGCAGGGTGAGATGAGGGCAAAGGGGATGGGAGGAATACTGGGATCAGTGGTGGTGGAGAATGGGCACTGGTGGAGGGATAGGTACTCAGTCATTTTATAACTGAAACCCAAGCACAAAAATTTGTAAGTCTACAACAGGACGCCATGGTGTTTCACTAATAAAAATTTTAAAAGTAAATAAATAAAATAAAAAGGTGCGTATGGATACCACATAGACACGTTAAAAAAACATATGACTATATACTTGAAGACAAATTAGAAATGAGTCTCCAAATATGAATCAGACAAATAAAATCAAGATTAGAAGGTTTAACTAGGGTAGTAGCAATAGTAGAGCAGGTATAGCACTTTCCTTGCACACAGCCAAGACAAGTTCAATCCCTAGCATCCCATATGGTCCCCCCGAATCCTCTCAGAACTGATCCCTGAGCACAGAGTCAGGAGTAAGTCCTGCGCATTGCTGGAAATGACAGGGAAAAAAGCAATAAATAAAAAAATTTTAAATAAAACATTTAACGAGAAAAATTTCTCAATGAACTTTAATTTAATTTTCATATGAGTACTGATCAGGATGAGAGCTATCATTTATTTTCAAGGAAGCCCACCTAAAATTATTACCAAAATCTCTACCCTTCTACCCTACCAAAGAAAATCACATTTCTTAGTGAGTGGTCTTCCTTATAAACATCTCTTGAGATTTCAGGCATTCCAGTGTCTAGATGTACATTTTGAAGCAAATAAAATATAATAAATGCATTTTACAAAGTACAATTTGATCAATAAGAAAAATTTATCATATTTCAACCTTTTGGCTCTAAACTCAGCTTGTGAATAATTAAGAGCTAATTTTAACTCCTGTCATTCTAATGTAATACTAAAAGCCACACCTGCCCCTTTCACTTCAGGACCACATCCTTCCCTTTCTCCCCTTCACTTATCTGCACCTTATTTATGCCTTTCTTCCTCTTTAGGAAATGCCCCTTTTCACAGTCTTATCTGGAATCCTCGGGTAACTTGTTTTCTCTGCCTTTTCAGACCACTCTCTTCCTGAACTGACCAACATCTATTTCTAGCTATAATGACAAGGAAACAAACTGATAGTGCCAGAGCATACTCTAGGTTCTTAGGTTCTAAAAATGCTTTCCGGATCACTCATCCCCTGATCTTCACTTACCTGGCAGTCACAGTGAGAAGAACACGCAGAAAAGTGAAACCAGAGGAGAATGGATCCACCTTGACTCACATATTGCCTACTAATCATGTGAGGAATCCTTTTCCCAGGTTGCTCCACTGACTTCCTTCACTAATCCCAGAAATCTCAACTACTGAGGGAATGTCGGAGAGGAGATTGTCCACACAACCCTTGTTTGCACTAATTTTCATGTGACCAGAGCAAGACCAAGAGCACCAGATGGAACTCTGTGATACTTTTATAATCTGAACTCAGATTTTCACCTCTCTCAGCAACCAGCAGGAAAGATGAACTGACTGAACTTCTTTACGGATAGGAACTTGGAATCATACATGTGCTTCCACTGACTCAACACGGACCTGTATGCCCACTCTCTCCCAACAGAGCATGAAAGCTCAGTCACAGAGAAGGTTCATGAATGTCACCTAAGAGTACCTTGATACCATATTAATGAGTGCAGACTCAAAAGAAAGTTTGTTTGAGTTTTCAGCTCTGTTGAGTCACTGAGGGTTTGCTCTGCTTGCTTAGCTTAGTCTAGAATAAAACAAGAATTGAACTTGAGCCCTGTGGACTTAGAATAAGTTCCTTGCTCACTGCATGGATGTTTCCTTAACAAGAGTCGCAGAGTTTACAGTGAGGACAGACTTAGCCGGATTTAGCCAAGCAGAGGAAAGAGGGGTATCACTTGTGAGATAGGAAACAGCCGCTTACCCGGAGCACCAGGCTGCGATCTATGGCTAATTGTGGACACTAAATATCTGACCAGAAAGATTCCAGTTCAGGGACACATACTGAATCTCTGCTGGAGACCAGTCCTCAAGATGCCAATTAGACTTGCCATGGGCACTGAGCTAAGCGTTCCCAAAGGACTTTGTCTGCAGGTTTCTCTGGGAACTGGGCAATGAGATATTTTGGTGTGTGACCAGAAGGAAAACATGGGAATATCTTCTCTAAAGTCCATTTCTCCATGGAGATAAACAAGTTATAATGACCCTGATTAGATTTTCATCCTGAGATTCACAGGGAACATGTGAGACGTCTATAATCTTAAATTACTCGTCATGTTTTCCCTCTAGACTTTTGTTGCTTTGGTGCCAACAATCATTAATATTAAATATATTTAGGTATATAAATATATAATATAGAAGGTATATAAATATATAATATATAAGGAATATAAGTATATGTAAGAAATATATAATGCATATAAATATATAGTATGTAATAAATATATAATATAAATATATTATATTTTAGGTATAATTATATTTTAGGTATACTATAGGTATCCAGAGATACCTATACTTTAGTCTTGGATCAGGGGTCACTCCTGTGTGTCCAGTGGGGTTCAGTGAACACTATGTGAGTTTGAAATTAGACCCCAATTGGACACTTGCAAGACCAACACCCTACCCACTGAACTACCTCTCTGGCTCCAGGTTTTACTCTGAAGACCTTCAGGAATCTTGAGCCTTTCCTTTAATGAGCACACAGTTAACATCCCACCAACAGCGCGAGTTTTCTCTGCATCCTCACCCACAGCACGTTAGGTTTTTTTTCTTTTTGGTATAAATTGTTTAACAGATCTGAGATGGTTGCTCATTAGCAATTTAGTTCGTGTTTTCCTGATATGTGGCAACAAATATCTTTTCACATACCTTGGGCCCCCTGTGTCTTCTTTGGAAAAGTTAAGATCATGATCTAATTGAATTCTTTTGCTTGTTGCTGTCCAGTTTTCCTAAGAGAATTTAGTGAAGACAACACCCTTTTTCTCTTGGATGGTCTAGTCTCCTCTGTAAGCTGTTCAGATGTGTGTTGATTGACTACTGGACTCTCAGTTCTTTTTCTTTCATCCGTGTGATAGATTTCTTGTAATAACCATATTGTTTGGATAACTAAGGGGAGGGTCTTTAAGAATCTTGAATTCTGGGCATAGGAAATCTCCATTTTTGTTTTTCTTGCTCGAGATGGTTTTGACCAGTTGTGTTCTTTTTATGTCTGCATACAAATTGTAGTACTGTTTGTTCTGTTTATGTAAAAAATAAATGCCACTGAAACTTTGATAGAGATTCTACTGACTCTGATTATCAACAGGTAAGATGACTACTTTTAAAAATTCATTCTTTCAATCCAAGAACACAGAATGTACTTCCATTTCTTCACTTTCTTCAGGATTTTTCAATAGATTGTTAACTCTTCAACGTCCATATATTTTACTTTCCTGATGAAATTTTGCTCTAGGTGTTTAATCCTTTTTAAATATAAATGTAATCTAAGGAAAGAGGCAGAGCAAAAGGGTATGCCCTGCCACAGAGTTGGGGTGGAACGGGGTGGGGGATGAAATGGGGGTGGTTGGAGGGATACTGAGATCATTGGTGGTGGAGAATGGGCACTGGTGAAGGGATGGGTACTCGATCTTTGTATGACTGAAATGTAAGCACGAAAGTTAGTGAGTCTGTAACTGTACCCCACAGTGATTCATTAAATTAAAATAAATAAATGAATAGAAATTGAATTGTTTTGTTAATCTTTCTCCCTTCAATATTATGTTTGTGTGTAGAAATGCAGCAGATTTTTGACAGCTGATTTTGTAACATGATAGCTTTCTGTGCTTGTTCATCATTTCTAGCAGCTTTGTAACAGACTTTATAATTTCCTTCTGTATGCTATCGCTATTTGAAAATAGCGATACTTTGATTACGTTCACAATATTGCATAGTTTATGTTTACATTTCTTTCTATTCATTCAGTTAGGATTTACAACATATTGAATAATAGTGGTAAAGTGAATGTCCTTTTCTTAATATGAATTTAAGAAAACAATTTTCAGTGGGTTTGTCACAAATGAGTTTTATTATGAAGAAATATGTTTCTTACTTTCCCATGTTACTGACTTTTAACACAAACTAATTTTATATCTTATCAAAGGTATTTTTTCTTCATCTATTGAAATGATTATATAATTTTTATTCTTTGCTCTGGAGATGTGTAGTGCATTGCACTAATTGATGTATTTGTGTTAAACCATCCTTGCATCCCTAGAGTAAGTCCCTCTTATTTGGGGTGTATTATTTGTGGTGACGGTGCACAGTCATGTGGAGTATACTTTTTATTTATCTATAATTTTGGGGGGTTGGGGAAACACCAACTGTACTCAGGGCTTACTCTTGGCTCTATGTCCAGAGATCACTCCTGATGGGTCTCAGGGTCCCATCAGGGACCTTAAGGGGTCCCAGGGATTGAATTCAGGTTGAGCATATGCAAAGTAAGTGCCTTACATGCTGTACTATCTCTCCAGCCTCTATTTTAAGATAAAATTATAAACATAGGAAAATTTGTGATGATATTTGTATCAGTGGCGTTAGCAGGGTGATGAGAATCAAAGCCAATGCAAACTCGATGAACAGAGAGGAGGGCACACACATACACACTCATAATGTTCAGTTTGGGGCTGGAGCGATAGCACAGCAAGTAGGGTGCTTGCCTTTCATGCAGCTGCCCAGGGTTTAATACAAAGCATCCTGAATGGTCTCTCAAGCACCACCAGGAGTCATTTCTGAGTGCAGAGCCAGGAGTAACCTCTGAGCATCACCAGGTATGACCCCAAAAGCAAAAACATGCTGAGTTTAACAAAGACAAAAATCATTGTCTTTTGTTCACTGACAAATACCTGGTGTAGCATTAACTCAATCAATATTGAAAATATGACACATTAATCATTAATGTGCTATCGCTCGGTAGAGCATTCGCCTTACAAGCGGCCAACATGGCCAACCCAAATTCAATTCCTCCGCCCCTCTCGGAGAGCCCGGCAAGCTACCAAGAGTATTCGATATGCCAAACACAGTAACAACAAAGTCTCCAATGGAGACGTTACTGGGCCCGCTCGAGCAAATCGACGATCAATGGGAGGGTCTTTAGATTTAGATTTTAGAATCATTAATGTGTATACATACAAACTATAAATTCCCCCTCCTGAACTCTGTGATTCACAAAACTTTGAAGATCTAACACATTCTAGTTCATACCTACAAATATTCTCTGATTGCACATCTGGAATATGCTTTTACTAATGAAAAGAATCATGGGAAAAGATTCCAACTACTGCTAGCAAGGACTTTCATTGCCACTGTAAATTCTCATTCAAAGTGATTTCATTTTTTTTCTATATTGACTTTTCTGAACTGTTTACTGAATCTTTGCGTGACAGAAAAACTTCTATGGGTTTTTATTTGGGGTGTTTTTTTTTAAGTTTTGTTTAGTTTGGGGCCACATCTGGCAATGCTTAGGGGTTACTCCAGGCTCTGCACTCAGCAATTAAGAAATTATTCCTTGTTGGGGATATGGTGCCACCAGCAGGTCAATCTGTACCTGTGAGGTGAGTGCATCAGCAGCCTGAGGGCATCTTCAGACTTCCAGATACCCCAAAATTGCTGTTGTGCCTTTGGCCAGACCCCAAAAACTGATCCCAGATACTCAGAATCAAATGTCGAAACCCAAGGGCTTTTGGCAGAAATGCGTCCAGTCCCTGCAGTAGGTGACTGGTGCTTGGCCACCCAGGATGGGAATAGGTTCGTGCCTTTGCCTGTTCCCTCTGGTGGCCCGGTGGCCACCATCCTCCAGAGGCCACTGGACAATCAGGTGTGGGCCCGCAGTGACAAGACAAGTGGGGCCTTATGGGATGGAGGTAGAGCCGGCCCTTTCCTCCCCACCCCAACGAGACCCTGATTTGCCACCCATGAACGGCCTCTTGGCTCCTGATCAAGCTGCTTAAGGCCATGATCCCAGAGACTCAGAAACAAATCTTGGAACCCAGTGGTTTTTGGCAGAAATGCATCTGGACCCCCGCAGTAGGTTACTGTCGCCAGGCCACCCCCGGTGGGAAAGGGTGCTGACCCTCCGCCTGCTCCCCCTAGGCAGATCGGTGGCCACCATCCTCCAGAGGCCACTGGACAATCAGGTTTGGGCCCGCAGTGACAAGACACGCGGGGTCTCATGGGATGGGGGTGAATCCGGCCCTTTACTCCCCTCTCCAACGAAACCCCGATTTGCTGCCCATGAACAGCCTCTCTGGCTCCCGATCAAGCTGCTTAATGGCCATGATCCTAGAGACTTAGGAACAAATCTTGGAACCCAGCAGGTTTTGGCAGAAATCCCTCCAGATTTAATTGTTAAAATTTCGAAATTTCAAAATCATTCGGCCACTACTGCAGCTATGTGACATCATATGTTATTCATAACCAGCAATAGAAAACATTGTGTATTGTTGCCTTTTCAGCATATTTGAGTGTTGGGGTAAAATCCCAAATAATAATGATGGGTCTGGTGTCAAAATATTGAATGCAATCAAAGTAGAGAGAGAGTAATGTGGAAATCATCTGTCCCACAGGTAGGGGGTGGGTGTGGGATGCGGGTTTACTGGGGTTTTTGGTGGTGAGAATGGCACTGGTGAAGGTACGAGTATTTCATTGTACAGCGGTAGGGCGTTTGCCTTGCACACAGCCGGCCCGACCGACCCGGGTTCGATTCCTCTGCCCCTCTCGGAGAGCCCAACAAGCTACCGAGAGTATCTCGCCAGCAGAGGCTGACGTATTTATTATGCCAAACACAGTAACAAGTCTCAAAATGGAGACGTTACTGAGCCCACTCTAGCAAATCGATGAACAACGGAAGGACGGTGTTGTTGTTGTGTTGACCGAGACTTAAACCCGAAAGCTTTGTAACTACTTTCACGATGATTCAATAAATAAAATTGTAAAAAATTTTTAAAAAAGTAAGGTGGAGTTCAGGCCAATTCAATCAGCTAATCAGAGACTGAATTAATAGCAGTACTCCTACATAAAAAAATAAGAAATTATTCCTTGTGATGCCCAGGGGACCATATGGGATTCCTGGGATCAAATATGGGTATGCACAAGGAAAGCGCCCGCTCACTGTACTATCTCTCACCAAATCGTATATGTCTTTACCTAATCTCCAATATCATTTTGGAGGTGAGCGCCTTTGGGAGGTGATTAAGTCATCAGTAGAATTAGGGCTTTAGAAGGGGATTTTCTCATTCCTTCAACCATGAGAGAGATCTCCTTTTGAACTTGAGTTTGCCCTCATGAAACACAAAAACTCAGACTCAACTTTTGAAAAACATACCTAGAATTTTCTGCTTCACCTGTCTCTCAATATTTGTAAAAGCACTTGTAATAAAAGGAAATATCTGAAAACTCTAACTTGTGGTATGATTGCAGATTCATATATGTCTAAAGGGCTACAAAAAATGTGTGTGACCTTACCCCACGTTCTTTTGGGTTTTCCAACCTAACAAATCGTTTAGTTATAAAAACATGAGGCTAGAGCAATAGTACAGCAGGTAGGGCATCTGCTTTGCATGCAGTTGACTTGGGTTCAATCTCCAGCATCCCATATGGTCCCCTGAGGACCGCCAGGAGTAATCCCTGAGTGCAGAGCCAGGAGTCATACCTGAAAATTTTGGGTGTGACCCCAAAAGCAAAAAACAAAAAGAAGTAAAAACTTATTGTGCTTTATGCTGCCAATATAAAATACAAATTTAGTGTAATGGCACAAATAAATAACGTGGTAGCCTATGAGACTTAGATCCCCAAAACCAATATAATTCTTAGAATATAAGAATTGTGTATTTACCATATTACTTTTAAGCAACTGAAGAACATCTTGATTCTGAACTCTAAAAAGATGTTAAGGCTTATTCAGATTAATTGAGAATCTTATAGTATTATACTCTGTATGTAAGGCAATTACACCTAGAGTCTTTGAATGACCACATCTCTCCCCAGCACTCTCTTCACAGCCTTAGCCACATCCTTATTGCGGAGAGTATAAATCAGAGGATTCAAGGTCGGGGTGATGATGCTATATAACACAGAACCAACCTTGTCTTGCAGTGGAGTGCGCAGGGACCTGGGTCTCATATATGAGAAGATGCAGGCACCAAACCAGAGAGAAACCACAGTCAGGTGAGAGCTACAAGTGGCAAAGGCATTTCTCTTACTCCCAGCAGATCGCATCTGAATGATGCTGTGGAGAATGAAGCCATAGGAGGTAGAGACCAAGAGGATAGGGAAGAGGAGGAACAGGATGCCACTGATATAAACAGTCTTCTCATACTCAGTGATGTCTCTGCATACCAGTTTCACAACAGCAGGAAACTCACAGTAGAAGTGGTGGACTGTTCGAGACCCACAGAAAGGGAAGTGCATCAAGATCACAGTGTGAATTAATGAGTTCATGGATGCTCCCAGCCATGACATAACAGCCATCATCAGAGCCACCCTCCCATTCATGATAACCGCATAATGCAGTGGGTGACAGATGGCAACATAACGGTCATAGGACATGAGAGTCAGGAGAACACACTCAGCCCCTCCCACTGCCAAGTAGAGGAAGTGCTGGGTAGCACAGCCCACAAAGGAGATGGACTTCTTGCCTGACAGGTAGTTGGTAGCCATCTTGGGAACGGTGGTGGTGAGGAACATCAGGTCCATGAGGGAGAGCTGGCTGAGCAGGAAGTACATGGGGGTGTGCAGCCGGGGGTCAGCACAGATGAGGAGGATGGTCAGAAAGTTGCCACTCACAGAAGCAAGGGCGACCACCATGGTCAATGAGAAAAGAAAGACGTGGGTGAGGGAGTCATCAAAGAGCCCTTCGAGGATGAAGTCGGCCAGAGAGGACTGATTGCTCTGCTTCATCACCCTTCACAGTCCTGCGGACACAGGAAGTGAGCATGGATGAATATGAGAAAACCTGAGTTCAGTAACTTAACAATAAGCACCTTTTGATCTAAGAAAGAATTTTTGGAAAGAAAAATGTTCCACCTCTTCTCTCAATTCTAATTATTAAAATAACATTAATAAGGTTGGGGAGGTGGGAGGGCTACTGGGATCATTGGTGGTGGAGAATGGGCACTGGAAGAATGATGGGTACTCAATCATTGTATGACTTAAACCCAAGCACCAAAGTTTGTAAGTCTACAGCTATACCTCATGGCGTTTCACCAATAAATAAATAAATAAATAATATAACATCAATAAGAGAGATAGACCTTCAAACACATGAAATTCTGAAATGACACTATTCAGGGTCTATTTTTATTAACGCCTTTGTCTATTTTTATTAATGCCTTGGGCCACACCCAGAGATGCTCAGGCCTGACTCCTGACTTTGTGCTCATGATCATTCCTGTGAGACTCGGGCACCATATGAGGTACAGGGTTCTAAAGGCAGGTCAAGGGATGGAGCGATAGCATGGAGGGTAGGGACTTTGCCTTGCACGCAGTCAACACGGGTTCGATCCCTGGCATTCCATATAGTCCCCTGAGCACTTCCAGGAGTCATTCCTGGGTGAAAAGCCAGGAGTAACCCCTGAGCATTGCCTGGGGTGAGCCAAAATGGAAAACAAAATAAAATAAAATAAAAAATAAAATAAATAAAGGCAGGTCAGTCACAGGAAAAGTAGGCGTCCCATTGGCTACACTATGTCCCCATTCCCCTATGAACTATATACATAGTTTTAATCTTGAGTCACATCACCCACTGTGTTGGTGGACAATACAGGCTAGGTGCATGGAGTTTACTCTGGCAGTGCTCAGGACATCATGTTCTTTGCAGGTGGAACCTGGCATTCCCCGGCAAGTAAGCCATTACTTCTGCCCTTTGAGCCAAGATTATGGATTCAGCAAGTTCAAACTCAACAAGTCATACACACAATACATATGAGATCTCAACAAATTTCTTATCATTAAGCAAGAAATACAGAAGTACGTACTCACACACATATTAAAATGAATGCGTATCTGGGCACATAGACATTAACTTTCATATGTATTAAAATAATCAACAGACAAAATGTAATAGTTATATGCATTAATTCCTTTTGACAAGAATTACAGGGCCTGAGACTGGAGCAATAGCAGAGCTGGTTTGCTCTTTGCCTTGAACGAGGCTTACCCAGGTTCGATTCCCAGTATCCCATATAGTCCCCCAAGCACTACCAGGAGTAATTCCTAAGTGCAGGGTTAGGAGTAACCCCTGTGCATCACTGTGTGTGACCAAAAAATAAAAAAAGAAACGAATTACAGGGCCAGAGTGATAGTACAGCAAGTAGGGCATTTGCCTTGCACAGGACCAACCCTGGGTCCACCCCAGGCATCCCATATGGTCCCCTGAACACCACCAGGAGTAATTCCTGAGTGCAGAGCCAGGAGTAATACTGAACATCACTGAGTGTGACCCAAAAAGCCAAAAAAAAAAAATAAAAGAATTACATAAAGTACATAGCAAGTATTTTGATGTATCCTTAACCATAATAATTTTTAACATAAATTTAAAGTCAACCTTATATCTGAGTATTTAACCCATGAAACAAAAGAGGAGCACAAGTTAGATAGTTGCAGAATAAATCTCAACAAAGATAAATAAGAGATTTTATTTATGTCCTCTTATTGTTACTACCTATTATTGTTTTTTATTTACCTCTTCGGAAAATATTAATATGTTTGGAGTTTTAGACATGAAATTATTGTACCACTTTAGATGGAAGAAAGTTGGTACTGCATTGTTAGGCAATTTAGTGTAGTCCAAAAGGTGTGTATATAGGAAAGAGAGATAAAGAGAGAGGAGGGAGATGAAGGGGAATGGAAAGAGAGAGAGACAGAGAGAGAGGAGCAAAGTGCCAGAATCAGGCTGGAGCTGGAGTTGGTGTCTAGAGGGAATGTGGGGTCGGAGGTGGGAAATATAAATGGTGATGGGAAAGGTCTTGGAATATTGTATGACTGAAATTCAGTCACGAACAACTTAGTAACTGTGTATTTCAAGGTGATTCAATAATAATAATTGTTATTTTATAAATGATATTATTTATTATTATAGAATTATTATTGGCAGAATCTCCAGCCCCCGCACCAGGCTGTCTTCATTGGGGCTCCTCGGAGGAGGGTGGGTTGAGTTTCCCTCCCCGCTCCAAGCAGAACCCTGCAGCCGAAAACCTCCAAAACCCAGGCACAGACATGCTCAAGGCCACTCTCCACATGCTCGGATGAGCCTCACGCATGAAGGAACCGGCAGAGGAACCCAGGGGTGCGGGACCCAGGGCTGAGATCTCCAAGCCTGCTCGGATCAGGACTGGGACTCCTCCACCCAGATGCCCCCTTTCCAATAGGTTGGCAGTCACATGCACAAAGTGTCTCTGTGCCATGTAATCCCAGCAACAGCCAAGATCCAGAGAGTATAAAACAAAGCTCCCAGAAGCTTTGACTTTGAAGCTTTTATAGACCTCTTATAGTCTAGCCCACTGATGTACCTAAAGCAGCACACACGTGTTTGGTTTTGACATGCTTACTTGTATTCTATTATATACATTCTCCATCCTTCTTGCAGAACCCTGAAAGCTACCATGAGTATCCCACCTGCACGGCAGAGCCTGGCACGCTCCCCATGGCATATTCGATATGTCAAAAGCAGTCACAATAATGGGTCTCATTCCCCTGACCCTGAAAGAGCCTCCAATATGGCACTGTTGGGAAGAACAAGTAAGGAGAGGCTGTAAAATCTCAGGGCTGGGATGAATGGAGACATTACTGGCACCTGCTTGAACAAATCGATAAACAGGATGACAGTGATACAGTGATACAATTATTATGTTTTATATATTATTATATATTATCATTAATATTAAATATAATTATATCTATTGTTATATTATGTTATAATATAGTCATGGTCAAAGTCCTCCCATTGTTCATCAATTTGCTCGAGCGGGCCCAGTAACGTCTCCATCATGAGACTTGTTGATACTGTGTTTGGTATATTGAATACATCACGGGTAGCTTGCCAGGCTTTGCTGTGCGGGCAAGACACTCTTGGTAGCTTCTGGGTTCTTCAAGAGGGGCAGAGAAATTGTACCCAGCTCGGCTGGGCCGGCTGAGCACAAGGCAAACGCCCTGCCACTGTGCCATCGCTCCAGCCCTGTTATAAATTATTATATATTAAATATTTTTGTTTTGTTATTGTAGGGGCTGGAGCAATAGCATAGCGGGTAGGGCTTTAGTCTTGCTCACAGGTCACCCGGGTTTGATTCCTCCGCCGCTCTTGGAGAGACCGGCAAGCTACCAAGAGTTTCTCACCCGCATGCCAAGCCTGGCAAGCTACCTGTGATGTATCCGATATGCCAAAAACAGTAACAACAAGTTACTGGTGCCCGTTCGAGCAAATTGATGAACAACAGGAGGACAGTTCTACAGTGCCATATATAATAAAATTATTGTCATTACATTACATATAATATAATACATTATATATCATTTAAATTATCAAATTATTGTATAATACAAATTATATAAAGGTTTAAAAAAAGGTGTGTATGGATGCCACATAGACACATATAAAAAACCTATATACTTGAAAGCAAATTAGAAATGAGTCTCCAAATATGAATCAGACAAATAAAATCAAGATTAGAAGGTTTAACTAGGGTAGTAGCGATAGTAGAGCAGGTACAGCACTTTCCTTGCACACAGCCAAGACAAAATCAATCCCTAGCATCCCATATGGTCCCCCCGAATCCTCTCAGAACTGATCCCTGAGCACAGAGTGAGTCAGGAGTAAGTCCTGAGCATTGCTGAGAATGACAGGGAAAAAAGCAAAAAATAAATAAAAATTTTTAAAAATAAAATGTTTAACTAGAAAAATTTCTCAATGGTTTTTATTTCAATTTTCACGTGAGTACTGATCAGGATGAGACCTATTATTTACTTATAATGAAGCCCACCCAAAATTATTACCAAAATCTCTACCCTTCTACCCTACCAAAGAAAATCACACTTCTTGGTGGTCTTAACATCTCTTGAGATTTCAAACATTCCAGATTATAGATGTACATTTTGAAGCAAATAAAATATAATAAATGCATTTTACAAAGTACAATTTGATCAATAAGAAAAATTTATCATATTTCAATCTTTTGGCTCTAAACTCAGCTTGTGAATAATTAAGAGCTAATTTTAACTTCTGTCATTCTTATGTAATACTAATAGCCACACCTGCCCCTTTCACTTCAGGACCACATCCTTCCCTCTCTTCCCTTAACTTATCTGCACCTTATTTATGCCTTTCTTCCTCTTTAGGAAATGCCCCTTTTCACAATCTTATCTGGAATCCTCGGGTAACTTGTTTTCTCTGCCTTCTCAGACCACTCTCCACCTGGACTTACCAACATCAATTTCTAGCTAAAATGACAAGGAAACAAACTGACAGTGCCAGAGCATACTGAAATTTACTTCTAGGACTGTGATCTGGTTAAGACACTATGTAATGCAGTCATTTTTTTGGTAATTGTATCACTGTAAGATAGACCATCACAAAGCTATTCATGATTGGGTTTCAGACATACAATGTTCCAACACTCATCCCTTTGTCTGATGCTAGAGCTGAAAGTCTATGCGGCTGGCAATGGGAAGGGATGATGAGTCTGTGAGAGATCAGGGACATGCTGGAGCACCTGAGTTTGAGCAATCATCATCATGGGCAGACTAGGACCAGTTTCTATTGCCCCTCACTTGTTGCTGTGGTTATCACACACAGAAGCAGGGTCCTTCCTAACTGGGCAAACCACACACACTGATCTGTGGACAGAGAGATGAAAAACGCCCAGGGGAGGGGATGGTAAAGGCAGAGCCAGCTACTACTCAACACC